CCAAGTGTCTTCTTGAATCAGGGTTACAGAAAACAAAGCACTTTTCCAAGTGTATCTTACATAAACCATGACTGATAATCAATCAATGTTGAACAAACCAAGGAACATTGACTCCTGTAACTAGGGTGTGGCACCATCCATCCCTTTATCCCCAGAATATGCCCCTTATGAGCCTCAGCTGCATAATTAATCTTGCATCCCAAAAAGACTCACAGAAGACTGCTGCTGAGTCACAACCCTCTCTCTCTCTCTCTCTCTCTCTCTCTCTGTCTCTCTCTCTGTCTCTCTCTGTCTCTCTCTCTCTCTCTCCCAGGGCTTCCTTGACCACGTCCTTGAATGAGACTCCGCTTCTGATTAGCAGTTTCTTTTGCAAGGAGAGATCTCTCATTCCTAGGATGATCCGGTCCTTCATCATTTCTCCTGGGTTGATGAATTCGCACCGGGTCATGATTCCTCTGAGGCTAGCCATGAAATCATTCACCATCTCTCCTTCCCGTTGGCTCAGCATGGGTGCGGCAGATGGCATGTCTTCCAGGGAGCATTGTAGGCTTGTCCATGCGACAGTCTCTACTTTGGCTGGGGCAATCAACGTCTATGCCATCTTATAGATTTTCGTTCCACAGTAAGTTAGGAATAATGCCCACTTCCTATTGTCTGGCCAGTCCTGGTAGTCATTGGCTTCCAGGAACATCTAGAATTGCCCCATATATGTGTGCTAGTCCTCTGTCTGCGGGTTGAAGTTTGCTGGTGCAGAGGATGCTTGCGATGCCATCTCGTGCTGTGGTGCAGGGTCTTGGTCCTTGTGTGAAATGGCTGCTTGTCCAATGAGGGTTCTCAGGTCCCTTTGTCCTTCATCGCTAGTGTTAGATCAGCGAGAAGGAGCAGGCAAGAGGCACAAGTGAGTTTCAGCACTTTTTATTGCAAGAGAGTGTGCTCTGCTGGCTGGGCTGCTGGAGCTCGCCTTTTAAGGAGCTCTGGCAGACCAGCTGGCCAATGACAGTTGTTTAAATTTCCCGGGGTTTGGGCAACCAATCCCCAGTGAGCATGTGAAAACATATAAATTTAACAATGTACGTACGTCCGTAACAGTAACTTGTCTCAACAGATCAGAATCAGAACTAGTTGGTCTGCCAAACCATTATGTTGATGGTACTTCTTAAAGAGTTTTCCTCTGGAATCTATTATGAATGAATGATATATTTTTAATAAATACCTTTTTTTTGGAGTAGAAGATACACCTTTTTACCCCTCAAAAGAGGGTGAAAATCTGGGTGCATCTTATACTCTAAATATAGCTCCATCCACCAGCTCCGCACGTCACATTTTCTGGGGGGTCCTTGTGGCTGGGATCCTCACTTTCACATGGCGCCTGATTCCTGAAGCTGCCTGGGGAACTGCGATGAAAGCCTTTTTAATGAAAGCATTTTTGCGCTGCAGGGTCCTCTCTTCGATTCCAAAAAGGGCACGTGCAGAGACCAAACAAGTGCATCATGTTTCAAGTGGCAGGCTGTTCCAGCATGCGCTGCCACCTGAAAATGCTTTCCTTCCCAGTTCCCCGGTGCACATTGCAGAACAACACACCCTCCTCCTCCTCTACAGACTCGCTGCCTGTTTTCTCCTGGCCAGCACTGTCAGCTGGGGGAAGCAGGGATAAAAGCAAGAGGGCAGCACAGTCGGGTGAAGGAGCCAGGTGTGGACACAGGGCAGGCAGATTAGAGGCAGCCGGCCAATTGCCAGCTTGGCGGCTTGGCTGCTGGCCACTTGGAGTGCGCAGGCAGCAAAGGAAACCTGCGTCGTGGCTTTATTAAGATGCACATTTCACGGTGGGGTACAATTTGGGGGTGGTAGGTGGGGCAGGGAATGGGGTACCCTGGCAGCCACTTTTTAGAGCCCATGCCCTTAAGCGTCGCTGCCAGCGACCATGGTTTTGCCCCCTCTCTCCTGGATAACAGCCGACAGGAGAGGAGAGGCAGCATGCCAGGTGAAGTTTCACCACTCCCGCCCCAACGAGTGAGAGGAGGGGAGAGTTCAGCAGCACCTGGGGCACTTCTTTACCACTGGCAGGGATGCCGGGCACCCCATCCCCTGCCCCGCCTGCCACCCTCAAATTGTGCCCCACCATGAATGGGTGCCCAGCATCCCCATTTCCAACTGAGGCAGCAAAGATGTTAGCCAGATGAATACTGATGGATGTTGCTGGGAAAGAGGCAGAAAGGTTTTTTTCCTGATTTCCTCCCACAAAATTAAGGTGTGTCTTATACTCTGAAAAATACAGTATATGTATTATGCAAAATATTTCCCTCATTAGTTTCATCACATATAATTAAGATTTGTAAAACAGAAATTCAAGTCACATGATGAGTTTAAAATGAGAAAATATGACCATGAAGACAATGTTAATTAGCAATCACAGGGCAGGTTAGTAGAGTGATCAGTGAGTTCATTGTGCATCTAGTAGAGGGGCAACATAGAAGAAATATTGGGAATGAAACACTGAATAAGCAGCAGATGAAGATACTTTCTAGTTCTAAGATAAAGCTTGAATGTAAGGCAAAAAGGCTATTCAAGAGATAAAACCTAATCCTCTATCTTCTATGAAGGATTTCCTTTCAACTGACTAATCTTACATCTGTTCAACCTCTGTTCAACCTGTTGCTCCTGATGAAGTGGACAAGGCCATGGGAGCGGTGAGTGCTTCCACATGTGTGCTGGACCCGTGCCCCTCCTGGCTGGTCACGAACAGCAAGGAGGTGACGCGGGGCTGGATCCAGGCGGTGGTGAATGCCTCTCTTTGGGAGGGTTTCTTTCCACCGGCATTGAAGGTAGTGGTGGTGAGACCCCTCCTGAAGAAGCCATCACTGGACCCAGCCAGTTTGAACAACTACCGTCCAGTCTCCAACCTCCCCTTTATTGGGAAGGTTATTGAGAAAGTGGTGGCCTCGCAACTCCAGCGGTCCTTGGATGAAGCTGATTATCTAGACTCCTTTCAGTAGGATTCAGGCCTGGCTACAGCATGGAAACCGCTTTGGTCGCACTGACCGATGATCTCTG